GGCCCGAAGCTAGAAAAGGGGCAGTGGCCACATGAAGAAAAGCAGTCAACAGAGAAAGCCAGGTGAGACACAGTCTCTAAACGCTCCTTTTATTTTTCAAGGCTTTACTAACATCAAAAAACAATCTGTGGTGATCCCAGGCTAGAGCTCAGGCATCCTCCCTGGGGCTAAAGTAGACAGCAGGCAGAAAACAGGAGAATTGTTGACAATTAAAGAATGAGGCTTTTTAAGAAACATGCTTGGTCTTGTGCTATCTGCAGCTGACTCAACCAGAGGAAGAAAACCTTATAATGTAAAAAATAAAAACAGTGCCAAGACAACCCATGGGAAAGAAATATTCTTTCAACACATGGTGCTTTAACAACTAGATATTCACATGCAAAAAAAATGTTGAACATTTTTCTTACACCATACACACATACACACACACACAAAATTAAGTTAAAATGAATCATACACCTTAATGTAAGATCAAATTATAAAACTCTTAGAGAAGAAAACATGGGACTAAAACTTCAAGACATTGATTTAGGCAAAGTCTTCTTAAACATAACAAAAAGTGACCAAAGGAAAAAATATAGATTAATTGGACTTCATTAAAACCAAAAACTTTTGTGCTTCAAGGACATCATCAAGAAAGTAAAAGGACAACCCATGGAATGGGAGAAAATATTTGCAAATCATATATTTGATAGAAAGAACTTGTATCCAGACCACACAAAGAAGTCTTACAACTCAATAATTAAAAAAAAAAACAGGCAAAAGATTTGAGTAAATATCTCTCCAAAGAAGATATATAAATGGACAAAAACATATGAAATGCAATTCAACTGTAAGGTATCACTTCTCAATTACTAGGATAACAATAATAAAAAAGATAGATAATAATAAGCATTGTTGAAAATATGGAGACATTGAAACCCTCAAGTATTGCTGATGGGAATATAAAATCATGCATCACTTTGGAAAACAGTTTTGCAGTTCCTCAAAATGTTAAACAATAAGTTACAATGTGACTTAGCAATTCTACTTCTAGGTATATACCCCAAAGAATTGAAAATATGCGTCCACACAAAAAGTTGTATATATATATATATATATATATATATATATATATATATATATATATCCACAGCAGCATTATTCATAATAGCCAAAAAGTGGAAAAAAATGAAAAGTGTCCATCAGCAGATGAAGGAATAAATAAAAGTGTTTATTCATACAATGGAATGTTATTCATCAATAAAAACAAATGAATACAGAACACATGCTACACCAAGAATAAAGCTTGAAAACTTTCAAAGTGAAAGAAACAAGTCATAAAGACCATATATTGTACAATTCCGTTTATATGAAATGCCCAGAATAGGAAAATCTATACAGATAGAAAACAGATTAATGGTTGTCTAACACTTGGGGCCTGGGAGAAATTGATAGTGACTGCTAATGGGTATGAGGTTTCTTTCTTGGGGTAATGAACACATTCTAACACAGACTGTGGTGATATTTGCATAATTCTGAATATGCTAAAAATTATTGAACTCTACACTTCAAATGGGTGAATTACACATGAATTAGATGTGAATAAAGTTGTTAAACCATAAAATCAAACTTTTTCTGAAAGAACAGTTAGGAAACTAGAAGTTAATTAATGATATGTTTGCCCACACTGAAGTATTATAACATAACATCCTGCTTTTTAAACAAGCCCTCAATTTTGTCACTTTACACTAATTTGCCTGTTAAGGTAGATGTTTAAGAAATACAGTAACATCATCAATAGATTCTGTGACTTTAAGCGGAATGACGTATAACAAAACCAATTTTACCATCGTCTAATTGTTATAAACAAGAATTAAGTTCCTACAGTATCTCATCAATGTTACAATGAAATGGCGTTTAACTAAACAACATTATTTGATTGTATTGCCCTCCATACTGAAATTTCCCCAATAATAAATAGTTGGCCTAAGAAGATGGCTCAACATCATACTGTTGGATTAACACAATCACATTGGCCCTCTTTCCATATGGTGTTTTAACTGCTTTTGATCAGCTTCTTAAAAAAAAAAAACTTTCCATTCAATTATTTAGCATCTTATTTTTATTACATATATCTACATGGCCTTAACTAACTACTGAAAAGACTGCAAAGTTTTCCCATCACTGCACAGCCTGCCTCATGCAGCTCTTTGGGTAAGTACGTTCCATCTCAAAAGTCAACCCCTGGAAGAGCCAATCCTGTCCCTCACAACAATTTAAAAATTATTCGAGAGCCATAAATATATTTTTACATAATCACCATTATGTGAATGATATCCTTTAAAAATTTTATACATGAAACTATGATAGTTTTATTTTCATTTTCAATTTTACTTCAGAGCCACAGTTCGTACCCAAAGAGCCACATGTGGCTCGTGAGCCGCAGTTTGCTGACCCCTGGCGGCTCTTCCATCTCAAAAGCTTGCCCACCCCTAGATAGGATAGAACAGCATGAGGGACAGAGTAGAGTCTGAGGACAAGCTAGGAGAATATTGCAGTTCTGTAGCACAGAGAACCAGGGACTGAGTCCTATGGCCCTTCAGCATAAAGAGGTTAAGGAGAAGAGGAGGAACAAGCAATAGTGACTGAGCGAGAAGACATGGGCAGTGAAGCAGAAAGAAAACCAGGAAAGTGTAGTATCCTTGAAACTAAGTGTAGAATGTGTACCCAGAAAGAGGAAGTGATCGAATGTGTCAAATGGTCTGACTGGGCAATGATTATAAGGACTGAAAATCATTAGATGCAGGAAAATCAGAGATCATTGATGACATGAATAAGGAAAAGTCTGGTGTAGTAGAGTGGGGGACAAAAATAGATTGAGGCAACGAGAAATTGAAGAGAGGGTATTACAAAGCATAGAGCAATTTTGTTGCAAAAAGAAGCAAAATATATGAGGTGATGGAAAGTGGAATAGGGTCATCTCTTGAGATGACTTCTTTTTTTTTTTAAATCAGAGGAACAATGGCATGATTGTATGCTCATATTTTTAAAACTTTAGCATGCATAAAATTAATTTGCTTTTTAAAATAAAAATGCATTCCCACGCTACCCCTGTAAGCCTGGAAATAATCCAACATAGAAGACAAAGCTACATAACAAGAGGGAACAGTATAATCAGATTATGGCTCCTGAAAGGTGGAAGTAGATGGAATTCAAAGGCAGATGAAGGACTGGACTCAGGAAGGGGAAGGGACTATTGCTCTGTTGTAACAGAGGCAAAGAGAACCAAATGAGAGATATAGGTTGTTTTGTATATTTGGTATCTGGAAATTATGGTGATTTCCATAAAATTAAGTTGACAGTAAGGTTACCTGTGGGAGAGAGAGGCTGATCAAAAATAAAATACAAAATAAATCAACTATACAAATGATAGTCGATTTGTATCGGTTATATCCATATCGGAATGAGTTGTCTTTCAATCAAAGAACCTATTATGAGAAATCACAGCCTCTAGATTAGAACCAAAGGGCCTCCCAGCACAGTTCAGTCATTATCTTCCCTGGGATTCCTGTAAGCAAGTGACACATCAGAAATAATGAGTCATGAGAAAGACGTGATTAGTGCAACAGAAATGAACCCTATGTTATGTCATGCCTCTGCGCTAATCGCTTCCTAAAGCCTCAACTGCCTATCTTGATACTCCTTGTTCTTCTATACCCTGCATGACAAGTTGTAATTCACTACCGAAGGCTTGGGAAACTGGATAAGATGCACCAAGGGCTCCGTTTGACTTTCGCCCTCGACTAGACACATCATGGTAGTATTTAATGCATGAGTGTACCACTTTTAGAAAGGAGTTTGTTCCCAAATAAAAATTAGCCTGGACTCAAAACAAAACATCCAAAGATAAAAATGACACAAGGCCTGGATGTCTGGTCTATTTCCTTCAGGCAAAATGTTAAAAACAAAACAGGACAACAAAAACAAACCTAGAAGCAAACTTAAGATTTTAAAATCCAAGGACAGGATTTAAGTTTGCAGGAAAGGATACCTAGATATGAAATATTTGTTCTATCTCTTGGCAGCTTCGAATTCTATTTCGCATGTTAATAAACTCATTCCTAAACCATTCAGGTTTTCCAACATTTGTGAAAGAATTGGCTGAAATTCTGGATTGTGGCTTGATGTATAACCAGCAAAGTCTGAATGGCTGCTTCTTTCTTTGAGGAGCAGGATGGGGCTCAAGCAGAAGTAAACATGAGGAGGAGTTTGATTCATAAAGACTGGAGCCTCTGGAGAACCGTGATATCTCATCCTTTTTACTTGGGGGAGTTGTGCTCCCCCAAGTTACACATGTTGAAGTCCTAAACCTAGTATCTCAGACCATGACCCTATTTGGGGATAGGGTCTTTAGAGACCCTATTTAATTTTAATGAAGTTAAAATGAGGTCATTAGGGTAAGCCCTGCTCCAATCTGAGTAGTATCCTTTTTAGAAAGGAGAAATTAGAACACAAATGGGCACAGAGGGAAGACCATGTGAAGACACAGGAAAAAGGCAGCCATCTACAAGCCCTCAGAAAACACCAGCTCTGCTGACACCTTGATGGTGGATGCCTAGCCTCCAGGTTGTGAGAAAGAAAATACATTTCTGTTGTTTAAGCCACCCAGTCTGTGATACTTTGTTACACTACCCCTAGCAAACTAATAAACACCCTTTCTACCCCTCCCTTTTTATTATCACAGACACATAAAATGTTATTTAAAAAATAGTGCTGGTCAAGGAGGAGTTCAGGGGACAGTCTTCTGTATAGGGGGATCCCTAAACCAATGCCACTTCATGGTTAACAGTCTAGTGACTGTCCTCTAAAGTTGGTGAGACCTATTAGACTCATAGCTGGTCTGATGCAATTTGAATGTAATAGAGAAGCTTGAATTTAGGTTTATTACTCCGATGTTTGAAATATAAGCATTGATGAATATGTAGCTGTATATTTTCACAGAATTAACAAATTGCCTGTGTGAGGACAGCCTGGTGTCTGAATGCTGCCACATTCGCTAGGACTCAGGGCTCCTCCGAGTTGGCCCTGTAAAAGAAAATAGCAGAGTAGCCAGCTCTCCAGGAAAGCCTAGGGCAGCAGAACACACACATGAATCGCACTGCATGCCCCAGTGTCCCTGGTACTACCCCCATCTTTCTCCATTAGTGCCCCTTTCTGGTCTCAGAACTTCCTTCCTGTCTCTGCAAAAAAATTTTTCAGCCTGTAGTCCTTAACACCACAGTCCCCTAATCAAAATTCTGTAGTTTCTTTAAATGAGAGTTGCAGACTCACTGACTCTGGGAGGACTTCCTTGATTATTCTAGTCCATGTTGACCTTTCGCTTCCTAAATTCCACTGCATTTGTAATCCCATCTCAGACAATGCAGTACCAGGCCGGCACTTATTTATATAAGGCATTACATGACAAGTGTTCTGAAGTGTTCCTCCGTTCCTGGACCTTACCCAGGCCAGGCAGAGTGCTGAGCCTCCTCATCCTCTTGTCTCCTTCCGTCCGCACTGCAACCTTATGAAAGAGGCATTTCATACTTGCTAAGAGGAAACTGGTTTAGCGTGCCTAGCAACTAGCTCCAGTGGCAGAGCTGGGATTTCATTTTAGTCCTGCCTGAGACAGAAGTCTCATGCCTCTCTCTTCTTCCTAGATCGGCCTCCACGGTGGCCTTCAAAAACTTTCCTTTCTCACCATCAACTTCTAGTCTTCTTCCCTTCAGCCCCTCTCCTCCTCCATCACTGTCAAGCAGGACAGTTTCTACTCTTCGCTACTCTCACATGCCTAAGGCAAACAGTTTTATGTTTAGCAAAGTTATTTGGCAAAGCACCTGAAATGAATTGGAGTTTTATAAATCCTAGAAGGCTGCAACTATGTTGCCAGTTTCCTTATTTAGGGTGTAGGGATTGGAGGTTGGACCATACTTTTCTGCAGGGTCCAGAGCCTCTCGGGACTTGCATTTGGGCCTTTCTAGGCCTGATGTAATAGGGCCGTAAGGATGGACAGTGTGCAAGAAAAGCAGCATTTGAAAAGTGAACAGGGCACATGAACCCACAGACCGATAGACAAATAAAGATAGCATTCTTGTTTTACTTTTATTATATTCTGGCCTCTAATATTTTATTCTAGAAAAGGTAATAAAAATGACACAATGGTATTCTTTTCAAACTCCTTTAGCCCACAACTTATCTTTTATTTTTATTTTTTTTTGCTATAAGATTTTAAAAAATCTTATTAAAGTATAGTTGACTCCCAATATTATATTAGTTTCAGGTGTATAACATAGTGATTTGACATTTAAATCTTATGATGTGCTTACCACACTGAGTCTAGTAATCATCTATCACTGGGAAAACTTACCACACTATTATTGACTATATTTCCCTTCACCTTCCTCACCTGTCCCTCCTTCCTCTCTGGTAACTATCAGTTTATTCCTTGTTTCTGAGTCTGTTTCAGTTTTGTTTTGTTCCTTCATTTGTTTTGAATTTCTTTTCTTTTTTTTTTTTTTAAAAGCTAGGTAGTCCAACAGGACCAAGGACGCATTACTGGGTTGCAGATGATCCTTGAGGTTTTACTTTTTACAACATTCAGGGCCACTTCAGTTCAGTTTTCTAATAAAAAAGAAAAGAAAAATGAAAAGGGCTTCCCTGGTTCCCTGAGCGATGGCACAAGACTTAGTGATATGTCGGTTTTATCCTTGCTGCAAGCGTATTTCCCACCCCTAATGATCAGCATGTTCTGTGTGCATTCACTCTCCTTCTTCTGATATATTCCTTTTCCTGTGAAGTATGATTTCCCTTTCTCACTCCCATATCATTTCTAACCTGTTGGCTTCTCTCGCCACTGACACTGACTCATTCAAACACACTCTTTCCCTAACTTAGGTACAGCGCAAAGAAACCCCACAGAAAAAGAACTGTCTGGAGAAACTCCTTTTTCATCATAACAGCCGCCGACATTTGCTTAGCTTTTTACTGTCTATTTTCTTAGCTTGATTGGCTTGCAAAGCCCTTTCCAATTATTGGATACAAAAGACAGGTAAACACAAACAGCCTCTGAATATGTAATTAAAACCATGGCTCAAAGAACAGTGGGTGGGGGAGTCACATTTATAGCAAATAACTTGCTAATAAACAGCTCTTGTCACCCAAGCACTAAAAGATACTATTGTTTTTAGTATTAATGAAGGACAGAAGGATGAGGTGGTGCAGACTACTTTTCAAAGAATTTAGAGTCTGTGACATTCAATGAAGCCCTCCAGTCTCTAGGCTTCTAAGGCTTCGAGAAAAAGGGCTGGAGTCAAGTTAAATGATGTCCAGTGGAGGCTCTTTTAAATTGGGCTCATCCAATCCAATCATTGCATAGATGACTGAGGTCCAGTTTCTTCATTAATTCAACAAGCATGCATTGAGCATATCTATAGAACAGCCACTCTGCTAGATACTGGGGATAGAAGCTAGCGTTTCTACTCCAGAGCTTCAAATTTAATAGGGAAGAAAGAGAATATAAACAATATAAGAAATGTTGAGTCCTGAGGAGAGAGGAAGCAAATGCATAGCACACTAACTTTTAAACCCTTCGTCTCATTTGTTATCCTTATTTCTCTTAACTGTTGGATACTTCTCTTCTTTTGGATCTAGATAGCAAGCCTATCCATATTCTCATTGGTATAAGAAAGCTATAGCATGCAGTGGCATTGTGGGTTCAGTTGGGTGTGGAGTCTGGCTTTAGCATTTATTAGAAATGTGTACCACTGTTTACCAATCAGAAGAAAGGTATCTACTACAAATGTAGTCATATTAAGTGAGCCATTGTAGATAAAGCCTGACATATATTAGTACAGGGATTGACACATATTTCAGTAAACATTAGCTATAAATAGTATGAGAGTTTTCTTCACACTGATGTTACAGGAAAACTGTATTGATATGAAGGGTAGAGAAATGTTACTAAATGAGTGGTAGGATAAAGAAACTACCCCTCTGAGGAAATAAATGTGCTACTTTTTTCAGTAAGTGGAGTATTGCCATTGTATGTGAATTACTTAGATCTTTAAGATATGTACACTGTAAAAAGGAGAGCTTAGAAGATACTTCAAGCTTATTTGATCTTGCAAAAGACAATTCCATCTCAGAATACTTATGAATATCTCCATGAACTTTTGTGGGCTGAACAAAGTATGGGAAGTATTTTTCATGCTAGGCACACCCAATCTCCTATGAAAGGTACTCATTTCTTAAAAAATCATACAACACATTTTAGCTGTGGTCAGAATCTAGAGTTCTAAGTGAACTAAGTAAGACAGCATTTAAATAAAGCTTTTGAGTTTGGGGCCGGCCAAGTGGTGCATTAGTTAAGAACTGGCTTGGGACGCCAGAGGGCCCTGGTTCGGATCCCATATATGAGGGCCAGTGACACTGCCCTCTACAGCTAAGATGCTGAACAACAGCTCAACCTGGAGCTGGGCTGCCATGAGTCACTGGCGATGGCATAGGC